TTAACCCCAGAGTTGATAAACCTGAGACTGTCAGAGTATCAGAGGAGGAACCCATGCAATTAGGGGTTGCCAAACACTCTGAAACTGAAAAATTACATAGGAGAAGGGACGGACTCTGCCTATACTGTGGTAGGAGAGACCATATGATAAAAGAATGTCCCGTGCTTCCGGGAAACTCTCGCACCTAAGGCCTTATAGGGGACTGGCCTTGGGTGTGATATCTAAGTCTCCTAAATTGCCTCCTAACCGTTTGCTTCTTCCTGTTTCTTTGTATATGGGAGAGGGTTGCATAGCTGAGCACATACAAGCCTTGGTTGACTCCGGGGCAGCTGATAATTTAATGGACTCGGGTTTTGTTAAGAAAAACAACATTCCCATCAGAGAGAAGGAGATACCCTTGGCCGTTGAGGCCATAGATGGTAGACCATTAAGTTCTCCAGTTGTTACTCATGAAACTGTACCATTACACATGTATACAGGGGTTTTACACTTTGAAACCATTCGGTTCTAGGTCATCACATCTCCCTCTTCTCACATCGTGTTAGGGTACCCATGGTTACGTACTCACAATCCCATTTTCGATTGGGAGTCAGGGCAAATAAAATTATGGAGCGATGCCTGCCATGAGTCTTGTACTATTGAAGTCACCCCTTTGAATTCTATTAATGTTCCTACTACTCCTCCTTTGTCTACTGTTATACCCCCTCAGTACTTATTTCTCAAAACTGTCTTCGATAAAAGGGAGGCTGACAAACTACCGCCTCACAGACCCTACGATTGTTCTATCGATTTATTGCCTGGCACAATACCTCCAAAGGGCAGGGTGTACCCTTTCTCTGTTCAAGAAAACCGTGTCATGGAGGAGTATATTAAGGAATCATTAGAAAAGGGGTTTATTAGGAGATCCTCTTCTCCGGCTGGAGCGGGGTTCTTCTTTGTATCAAAGAAAGAAGGTGATTTAAGACCGTGTATCGATTATAGAGGTCTAAATTAAATCACCATCAAAAATGCATACCCTATACCTCTAATCACGGAATTATTTGACAGGCTCAAACATGCTACTGTATTCACTAAATTGGATCTTAGAGGTGCATACAATTTAATACGTATTAAGAAAGACCACGAATGGAAAACGGCATTCAACACTAGATCTGGCCATTACGAGTATACTGTTATGCCATTTGGTCTATGTAATGCCCCAGCAGTATTTCAAGACTTTATCAATGACGTTTTAAGAGACTTTATTCACACATTTGTAATTGTGTACTTGGACGACATATTAATATACTCTACAGATTTACACACTCATCACAGGCATGTTACGACAGTTCTTGCTAATGGTCTTTATTGTAAACTGGAAAAATGTCTATTTGACCAATCCGAAGTCCAGTTTTTGGGGTATTTGATTTCCGCTAAAGGTTTTCGTATGGATCCCCAGAAGCTTTCTGCTGTCATGGAATGGCCTCTACCACAAGGTTTGAAAGCCATTCAGCGTTTTCTTGGTTTCTCTAACTATTATAGACGCTTTATTAAAGGTTTTTCCTCTATTGTAGCGCCTATCACCCGTATGACAAAAAAGGATGGCAATACTCGTGTCTGGTCTCCCGAGGCACTTCAGGCTTTTGAATTTCTTAAAACTACGTTCGCTTCTGCACCTATTTTACAGCATCCTGTCCCCACACTGCCCTATATTCTTGAAGTTGATGCTTCTGATATCGGGGTAGGTGCTATCTTATCTCAAAGAGAGTCGCCTGAAAAGCCATTGCATCCTTGTGGCTTCTTTTCCAAACAAATGTCCAAAGCAGAAAAGAATTATGATGTGGGTAATCGCGAACTCCTTGCTATTATTTTAGCACTGAAAGAATGGAGACATTTGTTAGAAGGAACTAAGGATCCTATCCTCATATTTACGGATCACAAGAACCTATCCTACCTTAGTGAGGCTAAAAGATTGTCTTCTAGGCAGGCTAGGTGGTCACTGTTTTTGTCTCATTTCAATTACATTATCACCTATAGGCCAGGTGACCGCAACACTAAAGCAGACGCTCTGTCCAGACAGTTCGAAACTACTGACAAACAGGAGATTGATGTTACTCCTGTAATTCCCCCAGAAAGGATAATAGCTACCACTATTTTGTCTATTTCTTCATCCCTCTTGCAGGCCATACAAGCAAAACAAAGCATGGCACCTAGCGAGAGACCTACTGATAAACGGTTTGTTGATGTTCCCGAGAGACGGGAGATTCTGTCGTTGTATCATGACACTAAGACTGCTGGACATCCTGGTATTTCCAAAACGGTGTCAGCTGTTTCTCTGTATTTTTGGTGGGATTCCTTACGCAAGGATGTCACCGACTATATAGGTGCTTGTACTACTTGTGCCTGTATGAAATCTTCTTGTAGGGTTCCTTGTGGGCTGATGCATCCGTTACCCATTCCCGAGAGACCTTGGTCTAACCTGCCCATGGATTTTATTGTTGAATTACCCCCTTCGAATGGTAACACAGTTATCCTAATGATAGTGGATCGGTTTTCCAAGATGGCTCACTTTGTGTCTCTTCACAAGCTGCCCACGTCCAGGGAACTACCACTTATTTTTGCCAGAGAGGTGTTTCGATTACATGGCATTCCCGTATGTATTGTGTCCGATAGGGGTAGCCAATTTATTTCCAGGTTCTGGAAAGCCTTTTGTTCGGAAATGGGTATTTCTCTCTCATTTTCTTCCGCTTACCACCCCCAGTCTAATGGAGCTGCTGAACGTGCCAATCAATCTCTGGAGCAGTACCTTCGTTGTTTCGTATCCCACCATCAGAACAATTGGTCTGACCTTCTTCCTTGGGCTGAGTTTGCTCGGAATAACGCTACTCATAATTCTTCCGGCAAGAGTCCTTTTTACGTTGTCTATGGCCAACATCCTGTTGTTCTTCCGGCTGCTTTCTCCTCACAGGGCATGCCAGTTCTGGATGAACATTTGGCTAATTTGCGTAATACTTGGGAGCAGGTTTAGCGTTCTTTGGTGGATTCCGCTGCTCGCCAGAAGGTGCAGGCTGACAAGCATCACAGGGCGGCTCCTTCTTATGTCGTTGGGGACAGGGTTCTGCTTTCCACGCGAAACATTCGCCTCCGGGTGCCTTCTATGAAATTGGCTCCCCGCTTTATTGGTCCTTATCGTATTCTGCATAAGGTTAATCCTGTTTCGTATGCCTTGGGTCTCCCTAAGAATCTGCGTATTCCTAATGTCTTTCACACCTCGTTGTTGAAGCCTTTCGTACGCAACCGCTATACCCGGCATACTCCTCCTCCCCCTCCTGTCTCTGTGGAGGGTCATGAGGAATTTGAAGTTTCTGCTGTTCTTGACTCTCGTTTCCTTAGAGGTCGACTTCAGTACCTGGTGCATTGGAAGGGCTATGGGCCTGAGGAGCACAGTTGGATTTCCGCTGACGCGGTTCACGCTCCTCGTCTTGTGCGCTCTTTCCATTCTCGTTTTCCTGCCAGGCCTGGCCATCCCCGCCCGGAGGGCGTGTCCTCAGGGGGGGTACTGTAGCGGTACTTACCCTTTCCAGGGGCCGGCCGGGGTCCTCTGTTCGAGCCGCGCGCGGTCCTGCTGCTGCACGAGCCGCGCAGCTCATCCGACGGCTGTAACAGGAAGGCGGGCAGTGACTGCGAGAAGCGGACACGTGTCCTGCCTAACTCTAAGAGCGCGCCGCGGGTCTCGGGTGCGCTCTTAAAGGGACACTGGGAGCCTAAATTGGAAAAGGCATCCCATTGGTCCCTGTCATGCCACACTCCCCATACACTTACCTTTTGGGGGCGTGGATGTGACAGGGAGCAATCAAATTAGATGTTTAGGTATATATACTCACCTTTTTCCCTTAGTTCCTTGCCCTATCGTGGTTTCTGTTTCAGTTCCCTTTAGCGCTTGTTGTGTTCCTTCGTACTTGACCTTGGCTTTGTTTCTGACTACGTTATCTCTTTATCCTTATCTGTTCTGTTTGCCGGCTTGCTGTTTTTCTGTGTACCAGACCCCGGCTAGTCCAAGTTTACGCTGTCTCTTTGTGCCCTTGACCTCGGATCGCTCCTGACTCTGTATCTCTCTCCTTTACGTCGAGTCTGGCCACTCTAAGGTCCGGTAGACGTACCTTCCCTCTGTGCTGACATTTGTTTAGCTTAAATCCTGCGTGTTGGGGTATATTTTCGTTACACTGCTATTGTGTACATAGTTTATACTAAATGACTCATAGTTTGAGGAGGCGGTGACGGTGGCAGTGTAGGTGGAAGTGGCGTTGGAGGAGGAGGAGGTAGCCAACACTGTTTATATATATCTATTTTTTATTTTAATTGGGGTAGCCCCCAAAATATTGGGACATGGGGGCGTGGCTAACCGCCGAGAGAAATGGACGTGTGATCCTTTCGCTCCGGCATCACGGGTCGCAATCTGACCCCATCCAGCGCAACACGGCGGTAAAACTGCACGAAAACGAGAGATGGCACAGCAGAGGGGCAAGAAGAATGCACCAAAAGCGGACAAAATCAACTTCTTTGGAAGCAAACAGCACCAGGAGCCGGAGGAGGCTCGGGCCTGGTCGCAAGATGGCGGCTCCACTAATGACAGCCCGGAGCACACAGCGACACTGCAGGAGGGGGAGTCTGATAAGCTCACCAAGAGCTACTTGCAACAAGCTCTGGACACCCTGTCAAACAAGTTGATTGCATCATGGCAACACACGGCGGATTCACTGAGGAAGGACATGCAAGAATTAGGCAAGCGCACCTCCCACATGGAGAACAAGATGGCAGAATTTGCCACAGCACATAATGACATTGCCTCTCATGTGGAACAACTGGAACAAAAATTACTGGCAACAGAAAATAAAATAGAGGATTGCGCACGCAGGAATAACCTGCGCATCAGAGGAATCCCGGAAGATGTTGTGCCGGAGAACCTGCAGGCATATGTCAGAGGCGTGTTTAACGCATATGCCCCAGACATACCTACCGACATGTTACTCGTGGACCGAGTACACCGCCTGCCTAGACCAAGATTCCTACCAGAAACTGCACCGCGGGATGTGCTGCTGCGCATGCATTATTACCATGTTAAAGAAATTATACTAAAGTCAAGCATAAATAAAGTGACACCACTGGAAGGTTATCCAAACCTGCTGATCTTCGCTGATCTCTCGGCGTCCACTCTCCGTAGAAGGAAAGAGTTTGCTCCAGTCGCCAACTCCGTAAGAGCTCACAGCCTTAGATTTAGATGGGGCTTTCCCACCAAAATGTTGGTGACGAAAGACAACGCCACCCAAGTCATCACATCACCTGAAGATGGACTTCGCAAGCTACAGTCCTGGGGATTTATGGACCAAAGACCGGAGCATCACACTCCACCTACCAGGCGCATCACACTGGACTGGCACAAAACATGAACTGCTGAACATCCGCAAGTATCAATCTGTTTATACATGTGTGCTTGCAATAAGGACAAGGAATGAGGAATAGTTAGAAAAATGTTTAAAAAAAAAAAAAAAGGGTTTTTTCAGGTTCATATGGGATTGGTTATACCATATTAGGCCACATGGTTCACTAAGGCTACTTAAGCTGGAGGGCAATAACTCCCCACACACTTAATGGAGGTCTGGAGATGAACAAATCTCCCCTAGCAGCCGGTAGCTCACGGGAAAGGCAATGTTCTGCAGAGGGCATGCCTATAGTTTTATATTTAAAAAAAAATTTTTTAAAATGATATAACACAAGTTCAGAATGTAATCACTAGATACCTGTTACTTTGGCGAGCCCTTCCAGCTACTGGGAGCAAGACGCTGCCTTACTGGACGCGCTCACCAGCTGTAGATTAAGGTGAATTTATGTTGTGTATTTATATAAGTATGTGAACCTACGAATGGACCTAACAAAAAAAATTTTTTTTCTTAGTCCTACTACCACTTACCCTCTTTCTTAGTACAGCAGTACACATCCCCAAAGAACCTATAAGACTCTTATTACTTATTACTTAGTACTTGATACATGGGTGACCTAATGCGACCGACCGTCCCCAAAGATTAGGAGACAGCGGAAGACCCATAGCCACGACACGGAAACATGCGAGTTTCCACCCCCATGGTACTCATCACCAGTACCAAGACTCATACATGTAAATACTTTGTTTTTGTTATTACCCGGTTACCACCTCCCCATGTCCTTGACCCTAGTCCCGCATGGATGAGAAAGCCCAAGCTATTGCCCACACCAGCTATGATCGCGATTGCCCCCACAGAGGCATCCTTGCCCGATATAAGCACAATCGACATACCCATACGAAAGGAAGATAGAATAAGAAGTAAACTGCAAATTCAGCGACGAATCCACATAACATCATATTATGAAAATATACTCACATAATGTACGAGGGCTGAACACCCCTCATAAACGTAGAGTTTTATTAGAGGAAACTAAGACAGCTAAGATAGACATTATGTGCCTTCAGGAAACGCACTTTGTGCGTGGGAGGATACCAGAATTTGGGAAACAGGACTATCCGACGCAGTATCACACGACTTATTCTTCCAAAACTAGAGGAGTGTCCTTCCTGTTTCACAAATCGCTCACTTTTGAACTGCTAAACGTCAAAACAGACGCACAAGGCCGATATTTAATAATCCACTGTCAAATTAACAGAGCCATATATACCTTAGTAGGCATATACAGCCCAAACTCCAACCAGCGCAATTTTTTGCATAGAGTACTGAGCAAACTACCCCAAGAGCACAAAGCTGGCATCATAATATGCGGTGACATGAACCACATTCTCCAGCCGACTATGGACACGACAGTGTCTCCCTCTACTCCTAGACATAGATCCTTAATACCACAATGCAAAGCCATCACTAAGCTATTACTTGACCATAACTTATATGACATATGGCGAACGAAACACCCGAATGACAAAAATTACACTTTCCATTCCAAGGTGCATGGAACCCACTCCAGAATAGACGTCATACTGGTGTCAAGAGATTTGGTACCTTCCGCAGTACAGAGTAGTATAGGGGACATAGTGTGGTCAGACCACGCTCCAGTGACCCTCATAACCCAGGACACTTACAAACACAGAGGGAAAGCCCCGTGGCGACTGAACGACACCCTCCTATATAACGATACTTTTAAAAAGGAATTGGAAACTGAAATAGATAAATATTTCCAACTTAACAATCAGCCTGACATATCACCTACCACCTCTTGGCAGGCTCATAAAGCAGTCATTAGAGGTCAGCTCATTAGCAGAGCGTCCTTTCTAAACAGGACCTCTCAACAAGCGCGTCTTACCCTACTGACCAAATTGCGTGACTTAAATGCAGCCCAATTCCTACACCCCACTCCTGGCCTTCACATTGAAATAGAACAAATTACTAAACAATTAAATGATCTCCTACTTCAAAAAACAGCACGCACCCTACAAACACTCAAATTGAAACATTACACCCACGGGAACAGAGCGGGGAAAAAATTAGCATCTTTGCTGAGACATCACCAAACCCACTCCAAAATCCCATATTTACTCACCAGCAAAGGAGGGAAAATATATAACCCCCTAGACATCAATGAAGAAACAGCAGCCTATTACCAAAACCTGTACAACTTAACAAAGGATCCCCAAACGCATCAGCCAACACAAGTTGAAATCGATAACTTTCTCTCGCAGATAACATTGACAAAATTAACACAACAACAGCAGGACTCCCTGATAGAACCGATTACACTGAAAGAACTACAGCAAACTATCCGTACACTCCCTTCAGGGAAATCACCCGGCCCAGATGGCTTCACGAACACTTACTACAAAGTCTTTTCGAGCATCCTGAGCCCCCATCTAGTACATACACTGAACCATATTGTACACACAGGGAAGATGCCCTCAGAAATGCTATTAGCGCACATAGCCACGCTACCAAAGCCAGGGAAACCACCTACGCAACCAAAAAACTTAAGGCCTATCTCACTGTTAAACACAGATACAAAACTCTTAGCTAAAATATACGCCAATCGTGTAGCGGCCCTTGTCCCTTTTATTACGCACCCGGATCAAGTGGGATTTGTGAAGGGGCGTCAGGGAACTGACGGCACTAGGAAACTCCACAGCCTTCTATACAGTGGGACGGCTCCCGGAGAGTCCAGGGTCTTTATGTCCCTGGATGCCGAGAAGGCGTTCGACAGACTACACTGGAACTTCCTGAGAACTGTACTACAAAAATTTGCATTCCCACAACAATTCCTATCCCTACTCTCAGCACTGTACTCCACACCATCGGCACAAGTAGCTAATGGCGGGTTTGTATCCAAGCCGTTCCTTATCACAAATGGAACGAGGCAAGGATGCCCGCTCTCCCCAGCCCTATACATCCTTGCGCTAGAGCCATTGGCCCAGGCGATACGGGATAACAACCAAATCCGAGGTGTGAAAATTAAACATAAAACATACAAATTAACGATGTTTGCGGATGACGTTATGCTCTCCTTGTCTGACCCACTCACCTCTATCTCAGAACTCCAGACTCTGTTACAGCAGTATAGCAACTGCTCGTATTACAAATTGAATAGCTCTAAAACACAGGCAATGAGTCTACATACGCCCGCGTCGCTATATACAGCCTTGCAACAGAAATACCATTATGAATGGAGACAAGACCACTTAACTTTCTTAGGCATAAAATTTACGAAACTAGTGAGGAACTTACATCGGGAGAATTATGGCAAACTCCTTACATCCATAAAACAGCAGCTAACAGATTGGAAAGGGAAATACATATCGTGGATGGGTAGGATAGCTGCAGTCAAAATGAAAATCCTCCCGAGACTGCAATACCTGTTTCGTACATTACAAGTTAGGCTCTCAAAAAAATTTCTTCACGACGCACAACAATTGATTAATACCTTTGTCTAGTCCCACAAGAAACCCAGAATAGCGGCAAACATCATGTACCACACATATAAAGGAGGGGGCATGGGATTACCACATTTAGCCACGTACTACAGATCAGCTATACTTGCACCGCTGGTCAACGAATTACACCAGCATGATAAACCATCCCCTTGGGTAACTGTAGAAGCAGAGCTCACTGGGGGACAACACATAACGCACCTGGCCTGGACTCCACCACAGCTCAGGAAAAAGTATAACGATATGTCACCACTCACGGCCACAACATTACGAGAATGGGACAGATTTCACAAAGAACAGGGATTCGATAGGGAGCTCTCTCCAGTCTTACTCCTAGATTCCTTTTATGGACTAATACCCTCATTGAACATGGCGTCCTGGAGCAGTAGGGGTCTGATATACTTACATCAGTTGTTTGATCAGGGAGAGGTCATCCCCTTCAGACAACTGCAAAATACACACCAATTACCCAACGCAGCAGCATTTGCGCACAGACAGATACACTCATGGTTGCAGAAAAATAAAAAGGTACTTCCTGCAGGAGACAGATGGGGCACTTTCACTGAATTAGAAAGTCTTTGCACACAGACGAAAAGACCACTTAAGCTAATCTCCACACTGTACAATCACCATCATCGAGCACTAGACCCACATACATTACAGTTTGTAAAAGCATGGGAAGCGGAACTAGGAAGACAGTTAACAAAAGAGCAGTGGTCATATATACTGTATGAGAATAAGAAACTCACACTCAGCACAGCCCATCTAGAACTAGCTAGGAAAGTATTATACCGATGGTACTTAGTACCAACCCGTCTAAAACATATGATACCTAAGAATACAGGACTGTGCTGGAGATGCAACAAAGCCCAGGGCACCATGCTACACATATGGTGGGACTGCCTGGTCCTGACACCACTGTGGACGGACACACAGGCTCTAATTAAAAACACTACAGGTGTAGCTCTCGCACATACTCCTGAGCATTATCTTCTACAGTATATGCCTCCAAGCCACACAAAATCATCTCGATATTTAATGTATCACATTATCTTGGCAGTTCTGCTGCAGATCAGCAAACACTGGCAAAAGCAGACGACCCCCAGCATACAGAGCTGCATAACACACATTGAAACCATAAAGGGGTACGAGATAATGGCCAGATCCAATAATCCACCACAAAAATTTTGGAAGGAGGCGTGGGAAAAATGGGACACATATCAACAAAAAACGGTGAAACCTTAAACACTCTACACACCTTTTACGCTGTAATCCACAGAACGATGCTTTAGGGAAAGGATAATACGCACCCCTTCTCAGCACCGCATCTTTGAACACAAGGGAGCCCACACACCACCTCTTACTACTTAAAGCTGGGTGAATACTCTGACGCAAATTCTTAGGGCCGAAGAACCGGCCTATATGCTGGGCTAGACTGAGGGACCAACACCGCCCCCCCCCTCCTCTACCTCCCCCTCTTTCCCTGTATTA